CAGGTTTACATTTCCAAAAATCATTCATATAACATACTTAAACATGCACAAAACATCTCTATATGTAGGCATGAGAGGGGAATACAAATAGCCACAACATTAATTTAAAAGCTTATTTAAATAGGGAATATGAAAAGCCAACAGTCAACTCCAGGAAACGAAGCACCAAAGTCACGAAAATGCCCCCATCAGTCACGGGAAACCACCTAGCCAGGGACCCGAAGTGGCAGCCGCGAAAACCCAAGTGGCCCGCACGGAACCGAGGCAGCAAGGCACGGGAAAACCACCAAGCGCGGAAAACCAGCAGCCAACCACGGGAACCAAAGGGTCAAGCCACGGGAACCAAGGAACTATCCACGGGAACCAAAGGGACAACAAATGGGGGAATGAACCTCAATTTATGAGCTAAAAAGGCTCTATACTAGACATTAATGAGCTGATATCTAGTAGAGGAAAGCATTTATGAGCTTGAAACATAAGAAGAGGCTCATTAATGAGCTGATTCAAGTAGAACTTACAAAATTTTCAACTCAACTTGTTTTGACCCATTCCTTGCCTACATCAGTTTTTTAAATTAAATAGTACTTTTTAGCTTGGTATTGGAAATTTGATTCAAGGGTTTTCAGCATCCTAGTTGCATGATCTTGTGAAATTCATTATCAAGTTTGCACTGAATTGTTAATGAAGATAGCATCTGAAAGCATTAGAATACAGTAGATCATCATGTAACGCTGGTGTTCCAGTTGCGGAGCAGAAAACAACGGGTAAGGTTTCATTTGGTGATGAAATCTGAGAGATCCTGATGGTTGTCCAAAGTCCAAACCAAACTTGGATATAAAAATAGTGTGTGCAGTTTAGTCCAATGTGGAGGAACTTTAGTAGAATTAAAATTTCATGAGTGGTAGAGTTACTGGAAATTAGAGTTTATTTGGTAAACCCAAATTAGATTTTCCTAGTTTCTTGATGGTGGAGCTCGGTTGAGGACTTAACGCTTAAAACAAGGGTTTGGCATGATTAGAGGAGTTTCAGGGTCTTAGATTACCTCAGAGAGTGAAAAAACAGAGTTATGTAAGAAAGGTACCAACCCAATAAAGAGAGAAACCTAAATTGAATAGTTTTTTTGGATTTTTGGTTGAAGGAGGGTATGACCTTGATACATCATGATTTTCGAAGAGAGGTGGACCTCCTAGAGCTCAATGTTGCTGTTAAATAGAGTGTTTCATATTACAGGAAAGTAAGCTATTTCCAGTGGAAAAATCTGTAGCAAAACTAGTGAAATATGTTGCAAATTAAGCTTTGCAGCTGAATTCATTCCAACGCTAAAAGATGAGGGAAAAGTGTTTGCGTCGGAAATTATCCATCGCAAATATATTGCAATGGATTTACGGTGAATTTACGACGGAGTTTAAGTGAAAAAGGACTTGTTCGTTTTAGCCAACCACCGCAAATTCCGCGCAGAAATACTGCAGTAATTTATGGAGGTCTTACGGCGGCTTGTCCGTCACCATTTGCGATGGAATTAGTGGCCGATATTTCCATCGCAAATTGCGGCAGAATTTTCCGCGGCAATGTACAATACAATATGATAATATCAGTGGAGAGTTAAATGTAAAATTTATTAAACTGCAAATAGATCAATGATGCAATATGCATTAAAGTTTAAGTATGTAAGAAGTCATTAAGAATTAACTTGAGCATGGTGAAAATGAGAATGTTGATATTAATGTGCGAAAAAAATTAGAGTATGGTTTGAAAAATGATGAAATTTTAGGGATGATTAGAGCAGTACTTATTTGAAAATAAGTTTGCGGAAAATAGTATTAGGTGGTTTGTACATGTACAATAAAGTGTAGAAATGAAACTATAATGTTGAAAGATTAAGAATGAAGTGGTGGATTAAAGATAGTATGGAAAAACATTATTCAAAAGATTAGCATATGATAGGCCCAACTCCTCTTGCAATACTTGATAGCAATAATTCACGAATGAGGATTCATAAAGTTGTGCTCAATGTTGACCTCTGTATAATACTCAATGGAAGTAAAAATGAAATCATACCTCTGCTATAAATCTTCTGCCAAATCCCTGATATCCTGCTGGTTGAAACCTCGGACTACCGAACCATTCAAATCCCGCAAATCCAGCCGACGTTCGCGTCGCTTCTCCGTAAATCCTGCTGAAAATCTGCTACCTCACCTCGATCAAGAGCCCAAACGCATCGTTAAATAGAAGAACAAATGGAGTCTTCGGGTGCTGCTCTTCATGTCCGACCTCTCTCGCTGCTCTCCCCCTCTCTCCGATCCCAGCTGAAGCTCCAACCTCCAATCCCGTCCCTCTCCTCTGTCCGACTCCACACAGCCGCACCCCTCTCATTTTCTCCGGCCGAGAGAGAGAGAGAAAGAGAAAGAGAGAAAGAGAGAATTAAGGATTTTGGGTGATAGTTTGTTTGATAAAGACATTTAGTTCCTACCAAGGTTCTGGGATCAAATACCTTTTGCACTAATAATAATAAAAAAGATTATTTATAGAAGTCCAAGTATATGCAGATGTTCATCTTTCATGCAAACAGCATGCCATTTATGCTAAGGATTTAAGAAGCCTTTATGTTAAGGTTACATAAATTGTAATTTGGAAATCATAGCTGCTTAGCATTCTTTTATGGATTCTGACAGTTAGGTAATTCTCTTCAGGTACCATTTTAAGTGAAGGCATTGTGATGCAGATGATTTCAGGACTAAATGAGACAGTTAATTTAGTTTTTGATTATCTACAAGATGCAAAGGTATGTAGCCATCCATTTATGCTATTGTTTGGATAACTTCATAAACAAATTTTGGAAATCTGTTGAAGTAATTTTAATTTATCGGATTCTTGTTTCTTTATCCTTTTTATTTTTAGTTTTATGCTTATGTGGTAACTATTAAAGCATGGATGCAGATACAGTTTTTGTTGTACTTGTAACATACGGTATTGTCATTATGAGACATCATATTTTAGTAAAATTGAACAAAACTGTTACGAGCGGACCGGTCCCTTCTGGACCGGTCCGATGCTATTCCAGGCGGAAACAGCCAAAAGGGGCGGAACCCCCTATGGACCCCACGGTTGCTGAAATTGATTTTGGGAGGGAGAATTTTGAATGAGGGGCTGTTTTAGGAAGTCCATTATGGTCCTTTATGATTAATTTTGTTTAATGAGGAGATTAGGGGGGAAAAAGGGGATCATCTTGATTTTGAATTGTTTTGAGATCTAGGTTTTGGTGTCTTGGGCTCTTGGCTTCGCCGGAGATCTTTTGGAGAGTTTTTCCTTCCTCTCGAATTGAAGGAAAGTTGTATCTTGCAAGTGCTTTTCATCCGTTATCGAAATAAAAGTGTTTGCATCGTTTTCCTCTCAGAATTTTCTTGTATTTTGGCTGTTTTTCTGCTATGGACAGCAGTTTTTCCTTGGATCTACTTGATCTTGGTGAGAAACACTTGGAAACCCAAGTGTTTCCTATCAAAAACAAACAAGGCTGTGTTGATCATTTATTATGAAAAATTTAATGGGTATGAGTAGTTAACTGGATAGCATTGTACTGTTCTGTTATGGTTATATGATGCTGATAGAATCTGCCAGAAAAAAAATTACCTAAATGGCAGCTTTTGTTGGAGTTTTCTTGGTGGTTCTCCTTATTTAACCTTCTTCGTGCGTCTGGACAGCGACCAGAACCTCCTCCTGGGAACGGCGGCATTGGGCTCGGTCTTTATCTCTGCGTGCAATCGAGAGAGGAGTAGCATTCCTCTTGGTCATCTGCTTCGTGCATATATTCCTGGAAGCTGAACAAAGAGGAGCGAGTTGGAACCCTCGTACATGTGAAGGAGGTCGAGCCTCTGTGCATGCGTTCTTACCTAAGCGGAAGCAGAACTGAGCACTGGGAGGAGTCATGTAAGAGCTTTTCTGCGTGCGTGCTTGGGAAGAGCCGAACGCTTGGATTGTTGGTCTTGTGTGTGCCTGCGAGGGATCGAGAGCTTGTAGCCCTTATTGTTGTAACTATAGCCTCTCTCGTGCATTTGTTGCCCGATGATTTAATGCTGGAGAATGGGGTCAAAGACATCAAGAATATGCTGGCGTCTCCTCCATCCGATTTATAACGCTTCTACTACTTGATAAAGCTGAAAATTTATTGTCAAGAATGGAGCAATCTCCACCTACTTCATTGTTGATTGGTCTTCAGCCTGCTATAAAGGCATTGATTGCCAAGGATCTTCTAGGACATTAGACATGGATGTGAAGGTTTCTATTGCATCTTGTCTTAGTGAAATAACAAGAATAGCAACACCAGATGATTTATATGATGATGATATAATGAAGGAGATATTTTGGCTAATTGTTGGGGCTTTCAAGAATCTGGATGAGATGTCAAGCCGTTCATTTCCGAAGAGAGTTTCAATACTTGAAATTGTTGCAAGGGTTCGATCTTGTGTTTTGATGTTAGATCTTGATTGTGATGGTTTGATATTGGAAATGTTTCAGCATTTCCTGAAGAAAATAAGGTTAAAGCATTCTGATACTGTCTTCTCCTTAATGGAGACTATTATGACACTAGTTTTAGAGGGAGACTGAAAGTATTCCGCACAGCTTCTTTCATGTTTGTTGGATGGTGTGAAAGTTGTTGAAAAGAATATTCTGCACATAGCCAAGAAGCCAGCTGAGAAAGTGCTTGTTAACTATTCCTTGAAGATAAACTCTTATTTAGCTAAACTATTTAATGGCAATGGCACTGGTGCTCTGTTAAGTAATTACAACAAAGTTGTTGCTGCTTTATTTTAGGGGAAATCTAACATTTCGATATAAAATGAAATGAATGCTTCTATTGAAAATCAGAAAGCTGGTCATAAATTATCAAACCGGTTCCTTTCTTATGACTTGCCTCAGGGATCGTACACAGGATGGTGAAATTTTACATCCTGAAAAAAATCTATTGTTGTTGCAAATGGATCTTCCAAATCGGCGACGAATAATGGATCTTTTCAGATTGCGAATGGTGATTCCATGGCTACAAAGTAAAAGACCGAATTTTGTCATCATAATGGTAAATCTAAAGTTAATATTGTCACGACCCAGCCCGGTGAGCTTGCATAGGCGAGGAGGGAACGGAGATCGGACGGTTGACTAAAATATCTAATTCCTAAAACTATCATCTTAATATTTGAAAAAGCCTCTAAAACATCAAATTTGAAAACACATAAATATAAAATCATTGATATTTATAAAGTTACCTTTCTTCAGGCACTCCTCTCCTACGGTATACGTTACCGTCTCTCCAACTCATTTTGATTTATTTAAACTTTACCTGAAAAATGTTAACAACTAATATTAAGCCAAAACTCAGTAAGTAAAATATAATTCTAAACTACAGTAATCAAGATAAAATGTATAATATGCTATATATCACATTTCATATGAACATAACATAAAATGATTTTCTAAAAACATGCAATTAAACATATATCATAAAACAATTCTTTCATTTTATTTCCATATTCATATCAATATATTTAGCTTTCTTATTTCGTATATATTACAACCGTCACAGGAGCCACCGTCTAGTACCATAAAGGTACTCATTTACCATTTCCTTTTCCACATCCTTTACCATTTTAACGTGCACGCGTATAACGTCTCCAGCTAGTACCATAAGGGGGTGAGCTCCATCAATTCAGCATGCACATACAAACATTCAATATAACAGAAATGTCATAATCATATTATATCATTTCATTTCATATAATACATAAACTTATAATATAATGCCATGATATATAACATAAAAGTTGCTTGATCAATCATATAATGAAATAACATAATCATGATTTAAAATGACCATAAAATTTTCATAATAATGCTTGGACTTTCAAAACATAAAATTGGAGAGAAAACAAAAGTATTACTGTAATAAAGAAACATGTACACTTACCGGAATTTTGAAAATGATTCTCCTCGCTAATCCTTATTCCTTCGAGGTTTCTTCAAAACACCTAAAAGAGTGAATTTCTCCTTCAAAATTATTTATAATAAATCTAAATTAATGTACTCATTCTATTCCTAATCTACCCTAAGTTCTTTCTATCCCTCCCCCTCTCTCCAAATGATCACATAAAGCAAAATACATATTTTAAAAATTCATAATTTCGTATAATTACATATTTTAACCAAAATAACCTTTACCCTACTCCTAATTTAATTTAAATAATTTCTATTTTCGGATTTAAATTAATTAGAAAATAGGAAAATACCATTTTGTAAGAAAAAACTCAATTTCTTTTATTAAAAACCCTCTTAGGATCTTTAGGAACAACATTTGCAAAAACAATTCCAAAAATTCCAACTTTAGAGAAAATCCTAATTTTTTAACTCCACATTTTTGAAGAAAAAGCCTCATTCCCATGCATAAAATTATCTCTTAAACCTATCTTAACATTCTCTTAAAGAAAATCAATGTTTTCCCTCAAACCATAGATTTTTCATTTTAGGAAAATTTTGCGAGGAAAGGAGAATACATAAATAAAGCATACCTTAATCTTCCTCTTATTCTCCTCTACAATTTCCCTAGCTTTCTTCGCCGGAAAACTCGTCGGAGCCGCCTGTCCGCCTTCTCCCTCGCGTTTCTTCGGTTTCGTTCGGTTCGGCCGAATGGACATAATGGGGGACCGAATGAATTCGGTCCCCTTTAATTCCCTTGGATGGCCAAAGGACAAAAATTCCCTCACTTAAACATTGCAAGCTTTATTACATACAAGGGGTATAATGGGTATTATGAGACGTCTCTTAATTTTAAATTCAAAATTAAGAAAAATTAAATATAAGTTTTATATATCAAATTTCTTAGAATTTTGTGTAGAATTTTATAAAATTATTTTCGTCGAAAACTGACAACTTTGAAAAATTCACCTAAATCTCGTCGCGACGCATCGAAAAGCGTGCAAGGTCGAAAACGGTATTTTGCGGGTTTTACAATTCTCCCCTCCTAATAAAAAATTTTGTCCTCGAAATTTACACAACTTCTAGTTACAAAACAACCAACATCTTCCACTTCAATTAACATAAACTTCAACATTGGAATAAAATAAACTAAACATCTGAAATATCACCAGTGACAAGAGCACCTTACAGGATGACAGTAAAAGAGTTACAAGAACTAAAAAGTCAATTACAGGAATTGCTAGATAAGGGGTTTATCAGGCCAAGTTCCTCACCATGGGGAGCTCCTGTACTGTTTGTAAGAAGAAAAATGGGAGCTTCATGATGTGCATAGATTACAGAGAACTGAATAAGCTTACAATTAAGAATAAATATCGATTGCCCAGGATTGATTATCTTTTTGACCAATTGGAGGGAGCTACAATTTTCTCTAAAATTGATTTGAGATCTGTATATCATCACTTACGGATTAAGGAGGAAGATATAGCAAAGACAGCTTTCAGAACCAGATATGATCACTTTGAGTTTGTAGTGATGCCTTTTGGAGTGACAAATGCACCAGCTGTATTTATGGATTTGAAGAATAGAGTTTTAAAGTCATTTTTAGACATATTTGTAATTGTGTTTATTGATGATATTCTGATTTATTCAAGAGATGAAGAAAGCCATTGCAGTCATCTGCTGGGAGTGTTACAAACATTAAAGGAGAATAAGTTGTATGCAAAATTTTCAAAGTGTGAATTATGGTTGAGCAGTGTAACATTTCTTGGACATGTGATTAGTGGTGAAGGTATTTCAGTGGATCAGAATAAAATTCAAGCC